ATTATGCTACTGCTTTTTGACTCTGTCTCTGACGACGAATCCGCGACGGATGTCGAAACGTCAGGCGAATAAAATTATTGTTCCAGCGATCGAGTCGTCTTCTTTTCAATTACTTCTTGGGGCTCGCATGTTCGCTTGCATTGGCAACTTAATCAAATTCAGTACCTGGGTAGGAAGTATTTGTTGATTTTTAAATCGTTTCTTAACTGCCGAATAAATTAAAAACCCGTCAGCTGTTAACCTCAAATTTTAGATTTTCACACGATATCCTGTATGCATCCTGCCTAGGGAAAATTGCATATTTTCGTGCGGCATGAGGCAGATGTTACATACAATGTTGCAATGGATGGAGATTACTTTGTATATTTTATAAGTGTCATCCATAAATTGACGGATACAATGCATTATGAGTGAGCATTTGCGAGTCGTCAAAAAATGAATGATTAAAATTATTTTGAAACGGAAAAATACCCTTTCTTCAAGTATAATATTTGAACAATGTTTAATGTGCTACAAAATGAGTACAAAAAAGACCATTTTGTGTGCTTTCTAAAAGGTATATTCAAATTTATAAATAAAGTTAAAATGAATCAAAATATATACCCTACTTTAGTAGACATTTTTACAAGACTATACCTTTTGCAGGTGGTCAGAGAGAAGCTCGCAAAAAGCCGATATTATGAGGCCACTAATATATCTTGAGATTAAACTGCAAGGTAATCAGTATAACAATCCTACTTAAGTAATTTATTCAAATCGAAAAAAACAGGCTAACAGTTCGCTCGACATTTAATGATATAGAGAATCAACATTATAAGCAGTTTCAGGTAGAAACAATAAGGGCGATGGCCACTGTTGATGATGCTGATTATGGTTATGAGCAAGTAGATAAGGACAGCGATACGGAAAACCATGAAATACTATTAAAGGGGAAACTAACTCGACGCGAGTTCTATTCTCGCACATCTTGTCAATTTAGATCATCGACTTTATCCTAACGAAGCCTTTCTAGTGTTCTACTGGACACCAGCCAACATTTGCAAAGGCCTACACTAACGGGTGCCAGCAACCACCGAAGCAGTGGCTTTACAGCTAGCGTATCCAGTACTGGAAAAGGGAGAAGGATTGGCGATTACCGGAGCAGTTTGTTTATTGTTCTGAACTTTCGAACTCTTGCAGGAGTTCGTCCTCAGGGATAAGAAACAGCAACAAAAGGGAGTAAGTATGGTGCATGTAAGCCAACCAACTGTCAGAGGTCGTCATGTTGTCCGAGTTAAGAAACAGCGATCCAAAAGGAAGGAAGAGGGTGCAATTTTAGGGGTATGCATTGATTGACTACCAGTGATGCCAATGGTCGTCAGCAACGAAAATTGGGTAAGTATAGAGGATTTGCGCCAATTAACTGTTAGTAACGGGCGTCCAAACATGACTGCACGTGACTGCACAGCGCTCTATACTCCGACACAAATTCAAGACATCAGTCAACTGGGTCTCTATCCGTGGATCAGGCTTCAATCAATTATCGGCTCGTCTTGTTTCACTGACATTTAGTTAACGTATACCCATTGTATTGTTTCCACCTCCTTTTTGCTTGCTGTGTGTTACCTCTGACAACATGACGACCTCTAACTGTTGATTGGCGTACACCCACTATAATTACTCCCTTTGTGTTGCTGTTTCTTATCGCTGAAAGTGGACCCCAATAAAAGCTCGAAAGCTCGGGACAATAAATAAATCGCTCGTGTGCCCGAAATTTTTGCCTTATAAAAGCAAATACCCGGAACGCAAAAGTTTTCATTCATTCGTATCCAGTACTGTTGTTGGAAGACACTATCACTGCCGTAGTCGACACCGACGACAGGTGGAGATCGCATATCACCTCCACGCTTTGATGACAGATGTTCACCCCATGCAAGTGACTGTAATTTTCACTCCACATACCCAACACAGGACCAATACTCACAGCCTATCCTAATTGCCCCCCTCCCCAGTCAAGTGACATCGAATTGCCGATCTCGCCATGCGGGCGGCGTGAAAACGATGAGTTGCAATCATCAGACACTTATTAACTATGTCTGACTGTACCATTGCCTTATCCATGCGATTGTACAGGTCAGATGATGCATTGCCGAAAAAACATGTTTGCCAAATAGACTTTTCGACTATTAAATTGTGTTTTAAAAATTGATGCTCGATGATTTTAACGCCATTCAGCCTGGCTAGGTTCACACAGTAAGCTGCGTGGAATATCACGTGGAAATAGTATTGCATTTAAAGGACTTACGGAATTCGACATGTCCAAAGCCTTTTTGAAGCCTTCGGCACCACAGATACGGAATAATGAAGCCTTGGGTCCCTTTAGTTCATCGACATACCTCATTATAGAGCATGAATCAATCATTTTCTGACCACGATGCACCAGCCACGGGACCTTTCCCATGGGATCCATTTGAAGAAACCAGTTGGGTCTGGGACCAACACTGATTAATACGCGGTCGTATCTAACAAGAAACAGTGCAAGTACTTACGGCGAACTAGTCAGCTTCTACTTATCAAATAGCAATTTAAAAAGAAACGCACATGAGTGCGCATAGGCCAGACGTTGATAACTTCAGAAAAGGCATAGGTTCGTGATGGTTTTTTGTCATCGAAGGTACCTCGGATATTACCTTTCTGCGTCCTAACCCAAAGCGCGTGTGTCTGATGCCTAACGTAGCCACGGTAAGGTTTACTTGTGCACAACACCACAGTAAGAAAAAACTAGATTTTTTGTAGTACGGGACCGGTGGTAGTTGACGTTATATGGCTGGGGCATATCAAAGGAAGGAAAACAAAAAAGTGAACAATTAAATCGTAAAACTAAAACTATACTAAGCTTAGCTTAACTGACTTAACAAAAAACTAAAATAAAATACAAATTAACTAAACTAGTTGAAGTAGCTGATCTAAAAATTAAAGTTAAACTAAAACTAATAAACCTTAATAATAAAATACGGCGCTGTTTATAAGTTATCCTCACCTTAGTTGTTAAATATCTCGTAGAAGGTATTTAGGCGTCCTGCTTATTGATGACGGCTACCCATTGGTATTGACATTTAGCATTACATTATTGATGGCTATTTAGACAGGTAAGCAAGTTCGTATTTAAGAGGCTCTTTTGAAATAGTATTGAATGCCGTATTCAAAACATAACAACACGGTTAGGCCTCGAAGTTCAGTTGGCTAGAGCGTTGGCTGCAATAAAGTTTTCCCATGTGCTCGTCTGGGTTCAAATCCCACTAAGGCCGCCGAGCTTTTCACAAAAGGGGCGAAAGAATTATTCAAGTCTGCACAAACTCCTTACTGCCGAAAGTACGTAGGTTTGGCCTACGTCCAAAAGGATGACATGTCGACACTTTTACAGAAAAATAAATAATGGACATCGTCTGTCTGATAGTATTAGCCTAAAATGAAGCACATGTTGTGGTATGAAAAAGAAGATGAAATGGGCTTTTATCGTAGGCATACTTACGGTATTTTGTGGTAGTCTAGGGTGTAGCGTACGCGCTGACAAAACGGACACATTTGCATTTCGTAGAGTGTGGCCTTGTCCGAATTAACAATAGGTTCGGCATCACCTGAAAACAAAAGCTGATCATTGAGTGGATAGGCTCAAAGAACCTCGGCACCAATAACATAAAATATCCTTATATTATTGCTTGAATTTTCGAGAAATAAAATTCACTATCCGTACATTATTTGTGGTAGAGGTAGCGAAACATGGATAATGGTGACTTATAGGGCCCGTTAGACAGTACAAGAAAATATAAAGAATACAATATATATATATATACCATATATAAATATATACAATACATATAAATATCATTGTAAATAGGCGTCCCCCGAGTGAGTACGGAAATCTCTCGCCCCGCTGTGCCTTGTCGCTCGTTCTCGAGCCCAACCAGTAGTCGCTCAACTGCTAGCATATTATAGGCATAAATGCATAACCGGCAAAGAGAAGGGAGATAAGAATGACAATTTCCGGTTTATTAGTAGTCATTAGCCAGCCATACCTGACTCCAGGGGATAAACCTGAACAGTAGCCCCACAGTAAACACTAACCTTATTCTTATCCCTAAATACCACCCTAGCTTACCTTACCACCAACCCCATCAACAAGCTCAAGCCTACTTTTCTCGGATTTTGTTATAAAGGCACCTTTATTGTGAGTAGTGTATGCTCTCATGTCGTATTGGAGAGACTATATAAGTAATTCTTTTCGATATCTTAATTATATATGCCCAGCAGACTCATGCTATGCTTGCAATCTCATCATGTACCATCTGTGGAACATGCAAAGGCTGCATGACTCATCAACTTAAGAACTACAGTCTACTGTCTAAAAGAATATTTGTGAATTCGGGTCTCAAACTCAAAATAAATACTTAGTTTTCACCATCATTTCATGAAGACGAATAGAAAATTGAATCTTCTGGGTCAGTGGCAATAATGCCGCAGAGTTGAGTGAAGGTATCCACCAAAAAACTTTGATGGACATAAGTTTATTTGTAAAAAATCTTCGGCTTCTAGAACGGCCTAGCAAAATCTCCAGGCCACCCACGCTGTCACGAGACGATGACACCTTGCGTTCTCCCTCCTTCCAACAAAACGCGAGAAAGGATGACGGGACGACATGAACTAATTGTTGGATTCATTCCCTTCCTCCCCCCTTCTCATCTCTGGTCCTCAATTAAAACTAGAATCTGACCCTTTGATCCCTTAACACCCCTCCCCCTTTCCCCTACTTACTACTGACTGGTTGCTTAAACTTTCGTTAACTCTAGCCTCCCTTATATTATTGTATTTGTCTGATGATGAATTCATCGAAAACGTTCATTCGCCTAACTTGACTTCCTGAAAATCAGACAAACTTAAGGTTGCCAATAGAAGTGAATATGCGAGTTCCGGGAAGCAGTTTAGAAGAAGAAGAAGAAGAAGAAGAAGAAGAAGAA